TGAGGAATTTTCCTTCTATTCCTAGTTTTCAAAGTTTTTTTGTTTGTTTAATTTTACAGAGAAAGTGCAATTGAGGGGGAGAGAGAGAGAGAGAGAATGAGAGTGAGAATTTTAAGCAGGCTCCACGCTCAGTGTAGAGCCTGATGCAAGGCTTGATCCCATGATCCTGGGATGGTGACTTGAGCTGAAATCAAGAGTTAGATGCTCAACTGACTGGCCACCAGGAGCCCCAAAGTTTGTTTGATTTTTATCATGATCAGATGTTGGATTTTGCCAAATGCATTCTCTACTTTTATTGATTTGATTGTATTTTGATTTTTGAATGTTAAACCAATTTTTTATTCTTGAAATATACCCGACTTGGTCATGACGTATTATTCTTCTTATATATTGCTGGTTTCAATTTGATAATAATGTTAAAAGGATTTTTGAAGCTATTCATAAATAAATTGGTGTGTAGTATTTTTTTTTAATGTTTGTTTATTTTGGAGAGAGACAGGGTGGGGTGGGGGGTGGGGGAGAGTACGTGCACACACAAGCAGGGGACGGTGAGGAGTAGAGAGTGAGGGAGACAGGATCCAAAGCAGGCTTCATGCTGTCAGCACAGAGTCCCATGTGGGGCTCGAACTCACAAACTGTGAGATCATGACCTGAGCTGAAGTCAAGATGATTAAGCCACTGAGCCACCCAGGCGCCCCGGTATATAGTATTCTTAACTTGTTATGTCTTTGGTTTTAGTGTCAGGGTAATAGTGGCCTTACAAGATGACTTAGGGACGTGTTCCTTTCTCTTCTATTTTTAGAAAGGGCTTTTGTAGATTTGGTATTATTTCTACCTTAAGTGTTTGATGTAATTTACCAGTGAAACCATCTGGGCTTAGAGTTACTTTTTTGGGGAAAGTTTCTTACTGTAAATTTAATTTCTTTAATAGATACAGGGCTATTCAAATTTTCTGTTTCTTCTTGAATTCATTTTGATAATTTGTTTCATTCAGGTAATTTGCCCATTTATCTAATTTAAACATGGCAATTTTTTTCCATACAAGGCCAAATGGTAAATATTTTAGGCTTTTCAGGTCATGTGGTCTCTGTTGCAGCTACTCAACTATGTTGTGGTAGCACAAAACAGCCATAGACAATACATAAACAAGCTGGTATAGCTATATTCTCATAAAACTTCAGTTATAGTAACATGTGGTAGACCAGATTTGGTCTATGGGTTATAGTTTGTTGACCCTTGACCTAAGTTGTTGAATTTATTGTCATAAATTGTTCAGAACACTGTCATTTTAATCTTTTTAATGGTCTGTAAGATCTGTAGTGATGTCCACTTTTTCATTCATGATGTTGGTAGTTTTTGTCTTTTCCTTTCTTGATCAGTTGAGTAAGAGTATCAATTTTATTGAGATTTTCAAAGGAACAGCTTTTAGTTTCAACATTTTCCTCTATTTGTCTATTTTCTATTTAATTATTTTCTGTTCTTATTAGTATTGTATTTTACTTACTTTGGGTTTAATTTTCCTCTCTTTTTTATTGCTATTACTACTACTACTACTACTACTACATTATTTTGTTTTAAGTAAGCTTCACACCCAGTGTGGAGCCCAAAAAGGGGCTTGAACTCACAACCCTGAGATCAAGACCTGAGCTGAGATCAAGAGTCTGACGTTTAACTGACTGAGCCACCCAGGTGCCCCAATTTTCCCCTCTTTTTCTAGCTTCTTAAGTGGAAGCTTAGGTCATTGATTTGACCTTCTTATTTAAACTTTCAAAGGTAAATATTTCCTTCCAAGCACTGCTTTAACTGCATCTCACATATTTTGATATGTTATGTTTACATTTTCATTCAGCTCAAAATATGTTCTAATTTCCATTTTGATTTCTACCTTAGCCTGTAGGTTATTTAGAAATATGCTTTTAAGCTTCCAAATATTTGGGAGTTTTTCTAGATATATTTTTGTTATTGATTTCTAATTTAATTCCATTGTGGTTGGTAAACATATTCTGTGTGCTTTCATTCCTTATAAATCTGCTGAATCTTGGATTATGTCCCAGCATATGGTCTACCCTGGTAAAATAAAAAAAAAATTTTTTTAGCTTTTACTAATGGAAAATTTCATCTTTTTTTTTTTTTTTTTAATTTTTTTTTTTTCAACGTTTATTTATTTTTGGGACAGAGAGAGACAGAGCATGAACGGGCGAGGGGCAGAGAGAGAGGGAGACACAGAATCGGAAACAGGCTCCAGGCTCTGAGCCATCAGCCCAGAGCCCGACGCGGGGCTCGAACTCACGGACCGCAAGATCGTGACCTGGCTGAAGTCGGACGCTTAACCGACTGCGCCACCCAGGCGCCCCACTAATGGAAAATTTCAAATGTCTATACATGTAGACAGGATATAATGGTCCCCAAATATTCATCACCCAACTTCAACAATTACCAACTCATGACAGTTTTGTTTCACCTAAACTTTTTATGTTATTTTGAAGCAAATCTCAAATATGTCACTCTGTAAATATTTTTTAAATCTTTTTGTAGAAAGAAAACTTTTTTTTTTTTTAAGCTTTTATTTATTTTGAGAAAGGGCATGCAAGCAGGGGAGGGGCAGAGAGAGGGAGAGAAGAATCCCAAACAGGCTTCGTGCTGTCAGCACAGAGCCCAACGTGGGGCTCGATCTCACCAATTGTGAGATCATGACTGGACCAAAATCAAGAGTCTGAGGCCTAACTGACCTAGCCACCCAGGTACCCCCACATTACAAGTTTATATGGGGGCTTCCAGGTCATATTTAGGACCACAGGAACTTTACCTCCTTACTCTTATGTTTGTATCTTTTTTCTCCCATGCCAGGAATCTTGGTTCTCTGTGAGCCAGGATGACAGTACTGTTATCTTACAAGCGATAGGTGTGAGCTACTTACCTGTTGCATCCCACAATAAGCCTAGGATGGTCTTAGGGTAAAAATACCAGCTTCACTGCCAGTAACATGATTATTGAAAACAGGATGTGGGGAACCTCCATCCTGCTCCAGCAGTTCTCAGCAGCCTGGCCTGCCTCGTGCAAGGGGGGGTTTGGAGCTGGCACTTTTCCTCCTCTTCCTCTAGTCCCCCGTGCCTTTTACTTTGTTTGTTTGTCTGATTTTCTTAGTGCGGAACACCTGGGTGCTCAGTGGGTTAAGTGGCCAACTCTTGATTTGGGCCCAGGTCATGGTCTTACGGTCGTGAGTTTGAGCCCCGCGTTGGGCTCTGTACAGATAGCGTGGAGCCTGCTTCGGATCCTCTGTCTCCCTCTCTCTGTCCTTACCCCACTTACACTTGCTCTCTCTCTCTCTCTCAAAAATAAATAATCGTTTTGAGAAGGAAGACAGAGAAGGCATGCAAGGGAAAAGCAGAGAGAGGAAGACAGAGGATCTGAAGCAGACTCGTGCTGACGGCACAGAGCTCAATGTGGGGCTCGAACTCCCGAACAGGGAGATCATGACCTGAGCCAAAGTTGGATGCTTAACCAACTAGACTACCCAGGCACCCATACTGTTTTTTCCCCTTAATTGTGGTTAAATGTACGTAATATAAAACTTAACATTGTAACCATTTTTAGGTACAATTCAGTAGCATTGAGTACATTTGCAGTATTGTGCAGCCATCATCAATATCCATTTTCAGAACTTTTTAACCAACTGAAACAGAAACTCTGTCATTAAAAAAATTTTTTTTTTAAGTTTATTTATTTTTGAGACAGAGAGAGACAGAGCATGAATGGGGGAGGGTCAGAGAGAGAGGGAGACACAGAATCGGAAGCAGGCTCCAGGCTCTGAGCCATCAGCCCAGAGCCCGACGCGGGACTCGAACTCACGGACTGTGAGATCGTGACCTGAGCTGAAGTCGGACGCTTAAGCGACTGAGCCACCCAGGCGCCCCTAAAAAAAAATTTTTTTTTGATGTTTATTTGTTTCTGAGACAGAGAGAGACAGAGCATGAGTGGGGGAGGAGCAGAGAGAGAGGGAGATACAGAATCAGAAGCAGGCTTCAGGCTCCAAGCAGCCCGATGCGGGACTCGAACTCATGAAATGTGAGATCATGACCTGAGCTGAAGTTGGACACTCAACCGACTGAGCCACCCAGGCGCCCCAGAAACCCTGTCATTTTTAAACAATTCCCACCCCTGTCTGCCAGGCCCTGACAACCACCATTCTTTCTGTCTCTGTCTCTGTGAATTTGCCTATTCCAGGTACTTCATAGACGTGGAATCCTACTACATGTGCCCTTTGGTCAGATACATTTGTAGCATGTATCAGATTTTCCTTCTGTTATTATGACTGAATATTCCCTTGTACGTATATACCACATTTGGTTTATCTTTTCTTTTGTCAGGGGACATTTGAGTTGTTTCTGCTTTTTGGCTATTGGGAATGATGTTGCTGTGAACATTGGTGCACAGATATCTGAGTCCCTGTCCTCAGTTCTTTTGCGTGTATGTCCTAAAGTGGACTATGCCACCACGTTTACAAGGCAAGTGTGGTAGAAGTTACATTGTCACGTTGTTCATAATCCTGTGTTGCAAAAGTTGGAAACGATGTCAGTCTTTCTGTTGCAGAGTTAGGCCAGATGCAGAACTATGGGCTCTTGTCTGTGTGTCCCATCACCCAGGTCCTGTACCCCTAGAAGAACAGTGTTCTTGCTGGCTTCAGGCTCATGGGGATTCTGCTGTTTTATGTGTCACCTGTCCCCTGTATCATGTCCTTGAGTTTTTCTGACCTCCATTGTTGCATGGACACACCCTCTTGCCGTCCTCTCTGTTCACCATTCTTGCCTCCAGCTTCCAGGAATCTGTATGCTAATCATGAACTCCCTTTCTCTCTGATGCCCCTCTAGTTCTCCCACTGGGTTTATGGGGGGGCGGGGTCTCGCCCTGGGCACGTGTGTGCTCAGATCCACACATCTCTTGCTCTAAGGCTGTGTGGCCCCCATGCCTCTTCCACCCCTCACGCCCCCAGCTTCCCTTACTTCCGAGGCGCAAGGGTCATCGTCTGTTGGGGAGAGAGGTTTGAGTCAGAGCAGACCCAGGGTTACAGCGTTGTGGTTTTGCCCTTATTGTGTCTGACAGACTTTGCTTTCCAGATCTGCATGATGGGGTCCTGGCCCATTGGAGGGACTAGGCTAACCGAGGCTACCATGGGGCAGTGCGGCCGCTGAGGGACTGGAGCCTGTGTTGGCCTCCAGGTGACCTGGAGCTTCTGGAAGTCCTTTCTGTCTCCTAGCCAAGAGCTGGCTTTTCCCTTCAGTCCTCAGTGAGCCTCTTTTCAAGTGCAGATGCCTCCAGCCAAGTTTCTTTCATTAGGGCGTCTAGGCCCCTGACACCTTGCTGTTAGTTCATTCAGTTTATTTTGGAGCTGGGTGGCAAAGGGTGAGGAAAGGGGAGAGGGAGGCTTGGAGCCTCTGGTTTCTGGGGAGAGGCCTGCCGGACTCTGGCCCCTCGCAGGCACTGCCACCAGAGCTCGCTGTGGTCCCTGCCTGTGTCCAGAGCCTGCTGTGGCCCCCGGGGCCTCACTCCCAGGACCCCCTCGCAGGACTGTCACGCGGCAGTTGTGACTGAGCTGAGCGAAATTTCATTCTGTGGGTTAGAGTCCCGGAGAGCTTGCATTTTGTCTGGCTCTACAGGTCTGTGTCATGGTAGGGGGCTCCGAGGAGCACGGAGACCGCTGAGAAAGGATGTAGGCTCTTTGCGAGGGCCTCAGAGGAAGCCGAGACCGGGTGAGTTAGTCCTTGATGGGAGGCCGGGGAGCCAGAGAGGAGATGGGCTATAGAGCCACAGCATGTAGGACACCTCGTACAGGCTCAGGGACCGATAAGTGGACCAGTGGAACAGAGTCGAGAACCTAGAACAGCCTCAGATATGTGGGAACTTGCTTTATGTCCAAGGTGGCGCCACAGAGCAGTGTGCGGGGAAGCAGCCACCACACAAGCGGTGCTGGGACAGTTGGAGGTCAGGACGGAAGAAGAGTGAATTGGAGCGTGTACGGTCCCATAACGGACTGTTACAGTCATAAGAGGCCAACCCCTTAGAGCCACAGAGCTCCTACTGGACGTGCCGTGCTCCCGTGCCTGGAAGGCGTGCGTGGACACATAGGTAGAAAAACCACATCCGAGGTAGCGATCGCCAGGAGAGTGAGGGGAGGCCCTGACCCCGTCCTGAGGGGGTAGCGCTCGCATGGTTCTGCCTCCAGTTTAGGTGTGTGTTCGGTATCTTCTGTATTTGTATCACACTTCACCGTAAAAAAGACTTTTCGGAGGGGGCCCCGACACACTGGGGGAAATGTTGGAAGCCTGTCCGTCCCGGGCCCAGACACGCACGGCTGCCATGAGACCCAGGCTGGCCGCACAGTGGTGGGAGGGCGTCCCGCCGGGGTGACGAGCAGGGCTGCCGAGTGCTGGGGTGGAAACCTGTGCAGGCCCTGAGTCCAGGGCGTCTGGGCTGTGTGTCTGAGCCCTGGCCTTCCGTGGGGCTGTCGGGACCATGGGGGTGCTTCATGCAGAGGTGAGGGGGTTGAGGTTAGCATTTTCAGTGCCCTGGGGCTGCAGTGTGGAGACAGGCTGGAGCTCCAGCTGGGAGCAGAGCAGCACCTGTGAAAGATACAGACCCAGTGGGAGTCAGGGCCCAGGGGTAGCTCCGGCCTTGCCTCTCGGGGCCTCCCCTCCCCTCCCTGGCAAGAGGGTCCAGCCACGCCGTGGGCCATCCCGTGGGCCTCCCCACTCCTGCTGTTGCCTGCTTCCTAGTTCTCAAACTCACCAGGTGTCTTCCCTCTGGGCCTTTATGCTGACCCTTCACTCAGGGTCAGCTGAGGGTTGCTGACCCTGCCCATGGGATGCCCAGGAGGGTTGCTCCTTCCTGCCCATGGGATGGCACCTTGTAAATGGTCACCTAGCGCCCTTCCCTTGAATGCCAGCCTGGAGAGGCAGGAGCTGGACTGCTGCTTCTGGAAGAAACGAGTGAATGAGCAGGGAATGTGGGCTTTCTGGAGCCCAGGTCTGCCTTGGTAGCCGTTGTGGTGGCAGGGTCGTTGAGCCATGGTGGGGTTGGCTAGTGCCAAGGACGTAACCAGAGCAGGCACTCCCATCCTGGGTTCTCCTGGATGGTGGAGGCTGGTACCAGGGGAGTCTGAGGGAGGAGGTCCCAGGCCCCGGGCAGTAGCACAGGCAGAACTGGAGTTAGGTCCACCAAGGGGCTGCCCGTAATGGGTTCCTGAGACTGTGGTGGGAGACAGGCAGAAGGACAGAGGAACAGGCATATGCCACTCTGAGAGATTAGGACGTGGAGGAAGGACGCTTTGAGAGTAGGAGGCCGTTAACCCCATCCCTGTGTTGGCTTTGAGAGACTTCAAAGCCTAGAATGACAGGTGACCGTGGCACAGTGTGGATGTGGCTCCTCCCCTGAGAATCCTCTGGTGCCCTGGGCCAAGTGAAGATGATGATCCCCCTAGCCTCACAGAGCAGGTCTCTGAAAGTCATCCTGATGCTGTGACAGGCGAGTTATGTGGCGGCCGATCCCTCCCATTCTGTTGGAATGATCCTGGGGGTTCCCCACTGCCAATGAGGCCAGGTGCTCAGGGAGCCATGTGTGCCCTTGACCCTTGAGCATGCGTTTCCTGAAGCTTCAGGGAGATGGACATCGATTGAGCATTTGAGCCCACAGCCCAGTGTCCCAGTTGGCCAGCTCTCCTGGGAATGTCCAGTACAGCCATGCCCCTGGAGCAGGTTCAGTGTGGGACCCGGGCACGCTTCTTCTAGGGCAGTGCCTGCAGTGGGGTGGCTGTTGGAGGATGTGGATACCATTCCGGGACAGCCACAGGTCCCCTGTGCCTTCCCCAGCACGGGTCTCAGCTCTTGAGGGAGTGTCTCCCTGGTGGCTGATGGCCTGGCGGGCGGGGCGGGGCACCTTCTGTGGATGACGTGAGGGGGTCTTGGAAGGTTGTTGGCCCATTCCCTGTTTGGTGGAAGGTTTCCTTTTGCTTTTTAGTAGTTCTTCTATCGATTGCTGGTTATGTATTGCCAATACCACTTCCTTCTCCAGGCCATCCTTTTTTCACTCTTTTTATTTTTAAACATTATTTGGAGATCACTGCAGGTTTGCATTCAGTTGTAGGAAGTAGTTCAGAGAGACAGTCCCCTGAAGACGTCTGGGACAGTAGCATCCACACTGATTTTTCCAGTTTTATGTGCGCCTGGATGTGTGTGCACACACGTGTGTGTTTACTTCTGCACATTCTTGTCACACGTGTGGGTTTTTGTCACCACCAGAATCAAGGTGCAGAGCAGCTCCACGACAAGGACCCTGTGCTGCCTGGGTAGCCATGGCCATCTTCTCCCTCAGCCCCCACCCCACACCCTAGGATCTGACCACATCGAGGATATTTTATCACTGGGATCACATGGGGTGTGACTGTTAGGTGCCCAGTGCCCTTGAGACCACCCAGGCTGTGTGCATCCATAGTTGGACCCTTTCATTGCTGAAGAGTGTCCCGTGATGTGGGTAGACCAGAGTTCCGTTGAAGGGCTGGGGTGTTTCCAGTTTGGGGCTATTACTAATAAAGTTGCTATGAAGTTCATGTTCAGGTGTTTGTGTAAACTTGGATGTCATTTCTCTAGGACAAATGCCCAAGAGTGCCCCTCCTGGGTCCTGTGGTAAACACATTTACTCTTTGTAAGAAACTGCCGAACCGTTTTCCAGAGTGGCTGTGCCATTTTACATGCCCATCAGCAGTGTGTGAGACCCATTTTCTTTAAACCCTTGCCATTCAGATAGACGTGTGGCGATATCTCACTGTGGTTTTAATTTGCATTTTCCTGATGGCTGATGCTGTTGAAGATCTTCTCATGGGCTTTTTTGCCATATGTATATCCCCTTCAGTGAAACGTCTGTTTGTACCTTTTGCCCACTTTCTTTCTTTTTTTAAAAAAAATTTTTTTTTCAACCTTTATTTATTTTTTTTGGGACAGAGAGAGACAGAGCATGAACGGGGGAGGGGCAGAGAGAGAGGGAGACACAGAATCGGAAACAGGCTCCAGGCTCTGAGCCATCAGCCCAGAGCCTCGACACGGGGCCTCGAATCATGACGGCGCGAGATCGTGACTGGCTGGAAGACGCTATAACCGACCAAGCCACCCAGGCTTCCTATTTTTTTTTTTTAAATCTTTTATTTTAGAGAGTGCAAAGGGGAGAGAGGGGCAGAGGAGAGTTGGGGACGGGGAGGGGAGGGGGGAGGGGAGAGGAGAGGAAAGGGGAGGAGAGGGGAGGAGAGGAGAGGATCTCATCTCAAACTGAGTACGGAGCCTGACAAGGGGCCCCATCCCATGACCCTGGGATCACAACCTGAGCTGAAATCAAGAGTCAGACACTCAACTGAGTCACCCAGACGCCCTGATACAATTATTTTTTACATTACTCTTGTATTTACCAATATTCTTCTGTTTTAATTAATTTCAATAGTTTTCCTAGAGGATCTTTCAGGGCATCTGGGTGGCTCAGTCTGTTGAGCATCTGTCTCTTGATTTCAGCTCAGGTTCGTGATCTCACGTCGGGCTCTGCACTGACAGTATGGATGGGGCCTGCTTGGGATTCTCTCTCTCCCTCTCTCTCTCTGCCCTTCCCCCTGCTCATGCATGCTCTGGTTCTCTCTCTAAATAAACATTAAAAAAAGAAAAAGACCTTTCAGGTTTTTATCCTGCACAATGTCATTTGCACATAATGAGTTTTTTCCACCCTTCCTATCCTTATTCCATTTCTTTCTTTTTCGTGCCCAGGTGCACTAGCTAGAAGTTTAGTACAAATATGACTCGAAGTAGCGATACAAACGTCTTTGTCTCATCCAGCAGGTTTGTTGTTTTTCAATTAGGTTGGGATGGCGGAACCCAGAGGCAGGAGAGAGCTGACGTTGGAAGACGGGTCCTAGAGAGGTCCACTGGGCATGGGTCCGGGTCTTTGCTGTGGGGTGAAGCACTGTGGCGGGGGGGCCAGTGGCAGGTGGGTCGTTGGACTAGGTGGACATCTGTGTCTAAAGGCTTCTTTCTTCTCATGAAACGTGTCAGCAGCTGAGCATGAAAATATGGGAGAAGGGGCAGGGGAAGCTGTGAGATTTCTGGAAGAAGTAATGCCATGGAGTGTGTGGGGCTCCCAGTTGGGTGGACGCTGGCCACCTGGACGGTGACACAGTTCATCCAAGACAGAACAAAGGAGACAGAAGTTTATTGAACACACTGCAGCAGGCAGGACAGCAAAGCGGAGACTGTCTGTCAGGAGTGGGGGGGG